CATAATTTCCACATACCATTAACAATTGCAATTCCGCATACCATTAAAAACTGCATTTCCACATAATTTCCATATACCGTTAACAACTGCATTTCTACATACCATTAAAATTGCACTTCCACACAATTTCCGCATACCATTAAAAGCTGCATTTCCCCATACCATTAAGACAGTTTTTCCCAGTGCCTTCAAAATCCACAAATCAAACAATACAATTCCTCAACTTCCACAAACACCCAGCACTTGGTCTCATGATTAGGATACTCAATTATAAAACTGGTCCCATTACTCCATTTACGTTCCTGGTTTCTTATTCAATATTTCCCCTGGCTCACCAACAATGTTTCTCCAGTGAGCCAAAATACAACCCAAGGGGTCTTCTCATATCACTTTAGAAACCCCTTGTTCCATAACAGCCTCGTACACGACATAACACAACACTTTCAGGACATAAACATTTAACAATCACACAGACAGTGACAATAATCAGTACAATTTATCCTCAGGATCCTTCCTCTCTCTGCCTCCCTCCAGAGCTCAACCTTCCCTCTGTGTTCATTTCCCACACTTGCATAGCTGCCAACCTCCTTCTCCAATAATCAACACATCAACGATAAACATCATTTCCATCCATGAGTAGAAATTAGGACCTAGAAATTGATCTAACTGTTCTGCTACACTTATAGGATCCTCAGTTAAGGAATTCTTCTTGCAACTCCTAACTTCTCTTCTAGTAAAAACAGCAGGCATTACCATACCCTATTTCCCTTTTACCTAAGACTGCCTTAAGAGGACAAAGTGAAGTATTAGTAAGGTTAGTATTAGAGAAAGAAAAACTCTCCAGGTCCCATTCGCATGACTCCAACTCCCTCAGTAACTGAGAGCGCATCCTCTCTCCAGGACCCTGCACAGATCAGCAGCACCCACTCTCCTCCTCTGGAGAGGTCACCACTGCTTTAGAAATTGCACTGCTTTAGAAATTAAAGGGGGGGAAGTTATCTAAGGGATCCCATTTATGATCTTTCTGCTTCTCTTTCCTATTTCCTTTGAACTTCAACTCCTCGCGAGGCACATTTCTTTACTTCTTGCACTCATTGGGCGACCTAAGCCAATTCTGTTTCAGAAAAGGAGTCTTACTGTTTACATATAAATACAAAGTCTGATATGCCCAATTTTCTTCAGACTCCTATTTTGGTCAAAATAATGATTTTCCCTGTAGTGGCTCCCTACTGTATACAGTATTTAAACATTTTTTTTCCCTGTTCTTTTCCTAGTTTTGGGATTATTTTCCAATTTTGAAGCACTTCTCCCAAGGGGCTGGCTCTCTCTAGGCACCATTCCGGGGACCTTTTTCCCCTGCTCTCGGGAACTCCTATTACCCATCCCTCCAGAATGCTACTGTGAACTCCCCAGCTCACAGGTTACCACACTCTGATTCTCGGATTTTGGGCCCAATCCCTCAGGAGTACTATACTCCTATCTCGGATTAATAGGGGTGTACTGCTGGCACTTCGTCAAGTGCACAGGGTACCACACACCAACAGTTCCCTCCCGAGACTCTTCCTTCCACCAACACAGCCGCTCCGTCCGCCCCTGGCCGTGCCCCTCGCGGGACAGCGGAACCGCAGGTCGGGACTCAGCACTCGCTTCGCACTGACAGCGCGTCTCAGTCACACACACTCAAGAGTCTCAACCAACCCCAAGGAAAGAGTTAAATCCCCTTACCTTGTTCCGTGCACGAAGTTACCGGGTCGCCATGGCCAACACCCGTGCCTACCTGCCCCTTGGCTTTCTCAGAGTCCATCCTTTATGAAACAGTCTCGGTTTTTTATCGGCCGTACCAAGGAGTCATCTCACCACCCAGACAGGACCGCTGAAATCAGCGGGGTGCACCTATCCTGTGCAGGGCAGTAGGGAAACTCTCAAAGAGGCGATAATAATCCCGGACGAGCCCCCAAATTGTTGGAAATAATCCAAGTAATTTTGTCAGGACGGTATCTCTGATAAAAGCAAAATTTATTCGCGATTGCAATGGCGGGCGTCCCACAAGTAGGAGCGCGCCTATGGACACAACATGACAGCCTTTATACCCTGTTTTCTCCCCCTTGCCTCCCCCCTCCCCTGTTTCCCCACTGGCTGGGTACTCCAGGTTCACAATCTTATCAGAAGGTTTTGCTATTGTTAATTTATTTGTTATCTGGTGCCAGTCAGCAGTCATCCTGTTGTTTCCAAGATGTCTCAGTGCTCTCCTTGTCCTATTGATATGGTGATTTTCTTTAAAGTCATCATCGTTAAACAAAGAGCACTGGGGGATGATGTCAGGCCTTCCCAATGTTTCTTCAGGCGCTTCCTCGGGCATGCCATGGCTTGTTCTCTGGTTTGCTCTCATGCAGGATATTCTTGCCGTGTGTAATGACAAAATATACATATGTACATATATACAGAGTGTGCGTTCCTGGGAAGGTTCGTCTATACGATAAGTGATGTAAACTTATCAGAGATCTTCCCCAAGTTGAGTAGAAGGACTCCCAAAAAGAACTATGATAGTGGAGATCATAAAATAAAAATAATATTATACAATTCTAATGCAGAAACAACACTTGATTCCCACAAAGGGAAGGAGGGCGATAGAAAAGATAGTGAGATGGTAAGCTAAAGAATACAAGATATAGAATACAATATGTAAGAGATCCATATCATATCTTATTTATGATAACTCAAAGGGAATTCACAAATAGCATCGCTTAGAGGGGTTTAAAGCTTAGAGGTATTTATTACTTAGAGGAATTTATGGCCTAGAGGCATTTGTTGTTTAGTTTAGCTTTTGCTACCCCAAGACCAATTTATTGCTTAGCTTAACCTTTTTGCTTTTCCCAAGTATATTTCTAAAAGGGAGCCTCCTCAAGTCAGTAGAGAGGGGCCCCTAAGAAAGCAATGGATGGGGAAGATAAGCGGGATGAGAAACGCCTAAGACATGCCAGGCCTGTAAGGAGCTCAGAGCTGAAACAAAGGTCGAAAGGACATGGCAAGGAAGACATCTCACTTCATCCCAGAACGACCACCGAATGGGGAGGAAGACATCGAGCCTTCATTGAATGGAAATTGGTGGCCCTGCTAGGCAGGGGGGTTGGAACTACATGATCCTTGAGGTCCCTTCCAACCCGGGTGATTCTGTGATTCTGTGAAACTAACGCGCATGCCCTGGGGAGGGGGACAGTATGGAAATGAATTCCTGAAAAAGCCATTAATATGTCAATGGGTCTTAGATAACACTGTTGAATATGTATGGTTTGGCTGATAAATGTAACGGGAGCCCACTCTTTGGTGTGCAAGCTAGGAGGAGCAATCCCCTTGCACCCAGCATGTGGCACAGTGCTAAAATAAAGACGTATCTTCTCTTTTAACCTTACGTGGGTTATAGAGAGTTTGATTCCACAAATCAATAGGAAAGAATTGTGTTAAGGGGGGATAGTCACCACCAGGATCCAGCAGCGGTGCTGTTGCACGACGTTTGAAGGTCCGAGGCAGAAGCAGCGGGGGGGGCGGGGGGGGGGGGGGGAGCAGCAGCATGGCCGGCCTTGGGAGCAGCAAGCAGGTAGCAGGAGGCAGTCGCGGAGACAATCCGGGAGGAAGCAGCAGTGCTCAGGCAGCAGGCCCAGGAGAGTCAGTCAGCATGCAGAAATTGCACAGTGTGAGGAATCTGATGTCAGACACCTCTTCTTCTACTTCAGCAAGCAGGCATCACTTCGTGAGGAATCTGTTGTCAGAAAACCTATGTTTTTTCTTCATGAGGAATCTGTTGCCAGAAAACCTATCCTCATGGTTTTCGATTCCCCTTTTATCCTACTTGTTCTCCTGCCTAAGTGACAAGGATGGGCCTTGAGCAAGAGTCTTTGAGTATCCCCTGAGATGGCCATCATCCTGAGATAAGTCTACACAAAAGAGCACTTCACAGCTATTTAGCCGCAGCTCATCTCTCTCTCCTTGCCCCTGGCCTTGTCCATCTGTGTCCCCAGACAAAGGATTTCACAACCCTTGCCCAGGACTTGCCTGAACTTGAACAAGTCCATCTGTGTCCCCAGCAAACTTTGAGACACTGATGTTAACAGAATAATATCTTACAGTGCCCAACAGTCAGGCTACTGAAGAACAGCAAAATAACCATCAGGTAGATTAAGCTGCCAAAATTGAGGTGCTTCAGATAGACCTGCACTGGCAGAACAAGGCTGAATTATTTTTAGCTCGGTGGGCCCATGAGACCTTGGGGCATTAAAGAGATGCAACATACAAATGGGCTAGAGACCGAGGGGTGGACTTAATTATGGATGCTATTGCACAGGTTATTCATGACTGTGACATGCCATAATTAAACAAGCCAAGAGGATGAAACCTCTCTGGGAGGAAGGGCGATGGCAAAAGTATAAATATGGGGAGGCATGGCAGGTTGATTATATCACCTTGCCACTTACTCAGGATGGTAAGCACTATGTGATTATCATGGTGCAGGCAACCACTGGGTGGCTTGAAACATATGCAGTTGTCAGTCCACAGAACTGGAGTATTAACTCTTTAATTACTCGTGCTTTACATGATGTTATGATGTGGAGTACCGATAACAAAATTATAAAACCATGACATTGCTGAACAGCTTGTAACAGCATGCCATGTGGGACAGACCTGCAGGTTCGGATCCTGTGCTTTTTGAGGTGGGGAGAGAAACAAATTTCTGAAACAGGCAGAGTTATTGCCAGCTGAGAAATATCTGCTGTTTGTGCAGACAATGACCTTAAGTTCCTTCAGTCTCATAACAAAGTTGCTCTGAATTATACTTTCCTATGGCTATGAAAAGCCATCTCTAGTCAACTTAGATTTGACATTTTGCACTCCCTCAACAAACAGAAGCTACATTACATATCCCGTCTCTACTATAAGCCAGCCCAGTTTTGAAGTTTAAAAGGAACAATTGAAGAGTCACCATTATCAGAATAACAAATTTAAACTTGATAAAAACAATTAATTTTACTTACAAATGCACATAACAAGGATTACAACAGTAACACACTACTGAAACTGCATCTCAACAGAAACAGTGTTTTATTGGTAATGGCATTAAATGAAACTCTCTGGCTAGGGTTAAGCAATTATCTGGAAGTTGTAGTTAAAAGTGAAGATCTCAGTTGATTGGAGTAAGGCCTTCCACTGTCTTGCACATCCTAGTGACTCTCTCCTTTTTTGCCAACTACCTGATGAAAGAAAGAGACAGGAAGTAGCAGAGTGGTTAACCAAACAAGTGTCAAAAAGATTATTTATTTATTTTTAATTAGCATCAAAATTAACAATCACAACATTTTTCAACTAAATTAGTGCATTTGAACATGCATTTTAACACTTGCAAGAAGCTGTGAATCCCTCTAAGGTGCTAAGAGGGATGCAAGACAAGAAACTCTTACCTTCATTATTAATAAAACCAGCAAAATATCAGTCTCAATTGAAAAGAGTTAGAAGACAGGAACTGCAACATAACACTCCACATTTAAAAGTATATGTTACACACCAAGCATTCAACCACAGTATGCTATATAAAGTAACACAGCAGGAAGAGAACCACTGGTTGCTCCAATAATAATGCTTGTTCCCTTTGTTGGAAATAATCCAAGTAATTTTGTCAGGACGGTATCTCTGATAAAAGCAGAATTTATTCACGATTGCAATGGCGGGCGTCCCACAAGTAGGAGCGCGCCTATGGACACAACATGGCAGCCTTTATACCCTGTTTTCTCCCCCTTGCCTCCCCCCTCCCCTGTTTCCCCACTGGCTGGGTACTCCAGGTTCACAATCTTATCAGAAGGTTGACATTTGCTATTTACTTGTTAATTTATTTGTTATCTGGTGCCAGTCAGCAGTCATCCTGTTGTTTCCAAGATGTCTCAGTGCTCCCCTTGTCCTACTGATATGATGATTTTCTTTGAAGTCATCATCATTAAACAAAGAGCACTGGGGGATGATGTCAGGCCTTCACAATGTTTCTTCAGGCGCTTCCTCGGGCATGCCATGGCTTGTTCTCTGGTTTGCTCTCGTGCAGGATATTTTTGCAGTGTGTGTGACAAAATATACATATATACACCTATATACAGAGTTCTAATGCAGAAACAACACTTGATTCCCACACCTTCCCTTGGCATCCTTATTGAGAACTGCTAACTGAGAACATCTACCTTACCATGTAGTTCAAACCTGTAGAGAAATGTGGAAGTCATCTGATTTTCAGTTATTCTTGATGAAAACATTCCTTATGAAGACTACTCTTAGTCTCCAGTTCTGCAAACCCCACCAGGAATCAGAGTCATCTCAGTACTTCTCTTTTCAGAAAAGATTACTACTGACACCAGACTTTGCTGAGAGTTGCCAGTCAACAGCAACACCAGCACTCTACATTCTGCCATGTAAGCTTACAATTAGCATGGTTCATTAAGGAAAGGGATTCAATCTCCTTTGTTACAGTAACTGGACATAAGCAGGATTTTCTGAAACCATTTTCCCAACCATTTTCCCACAGTCTGACAGTGACAAAAAAATACATCCAACTCAACATCCCAGTATGAACAACAGTAGGACTGGAAACACTACTACTAAACCTTCTGGAGCAGAAAGGTGTGTGTTTTCAACATATAGAGGTCTAGCAAATGAACTTAGATGCTATTGGTTCAGGCCACCTCTGTACAAACACCTCTCAGCTCCTCACTTTGTATTCCTTGAAAAGGTTCCCTAGAGACAAATGGGGGACAATAAAGAGAACTTGGTAGCCCACACTGGCTTGCACACCGTTTACTGCAGGGTTACACCAAAGGACACTAATCTTGACTAAGATTAAGAAAAATCAAGTTTTGGTAGAGCATTTCACAAACTGCATTTCAAACAGCTTTACAAGATTCAATACAGGCTGAAAAATGAGTTATAGAAAATAATTTGTAGAAGTGCTAGACAGTGCACTTCTAAAAATGTCAACTTTAGAATAAAGAGAACAGAGTTGATGTGAGAATCAAGTGTTGTTTCTGCATTAGAATTGTATAATATTATTTTTATTTCATGATCTCAGCTATCATAGTTCTTTTTGGGAGTCCCTCTACTTAACTTGGGGAAGATCTCTGATAAGTTTACATCACTTATCGTATAGACGAACCTTCCCAGGAACGCACACTTTGTATATAGGTGTATATATGTATATTTTGCCACATACACTGCAAGAATATCCTGCATGAGAGCAAACCAGAGAACAAGCCATGGCATGCCCGAGGAAGCGCCTGAAGAGACATTGTGAAGGCCTGACATCATCCCCCAGTGCTCTTTGTTTAACGATGATGACTTTAAAGAAAATCACCATATCAACAGGACAAGGAGAGCACGGAGACATCTTGGATGATTACTGACTGGCACCAGATAACAAATAAATTAACAAGTAAATAGCAACTGTAAATTCTTCTGATAAGATTGTGAACCTGGAGTACCCAGTCATTGGGGAAACAGGGGAGGGGGAGGCAAAGGGGAGAAAACAGGGTATAAAGGCTGTCATGGTGTGTCCATAGGCGCGCTCCTACTTGTGGGACGCCCGCCATTGCAATCGCGAATAAATTTTGCTTTTATCAGAGATACCGTCCAGACAAAATTACTTGGATTATTTCCAACAGTTGATAAGACTGAAAGATAAAGAGAAACATTTAAGATAAGATTTAGATGGGGAAAAAAAAAAAAACACAAAAACAGGTGAGTTGGTGCATCAGGAGGTAGAGAAGGCCATTCCTAATTGCAGAAGTTGCAGAGAAGGGTCTTGCATCAGTGCTGAGATTGTGGAAAAGGTGAAAGAGATGCTAGATGAGCAGAGGGAGGTTCTCTGGTTGTGGTGATACAAGTTGCAGCTTGTTAAGTCCCTTAATGGACAACCTTGCAGTTTGTTTAGATAATGGGAAGGATCTGTGACTTTCTATTGAATAAATAAGGGAGGTTTTGCGAGACTTTGTATTTGAATAGATAAGGAACGTTCCACGAGTCTTTGTATGAAATATGGACGTACCTCTGGGAAGACCTCTGAATGTATATAAACTGAAGACCTCTCTGTGTAAGGTATGCATGATAGGAGGAGAGCATCCCCCATGAATCCAGCCCTGTTATTAAAGAATGTCTACTTTCTAACACTCGAACTTGAGTCTTAGAGAGTTTCTTGATTGACCGCTTTATGGTAACAATTTGGCGACCCAGGTGGGACAGAGCTCTTGAGCCTCAATGGTTCCTGGGATCACAGAACCTCAGCCAGCACCGAGGTATTCTTGGGAGGTGTCACGGAGTTGACCAGATCAATCTATGTCCGTGACAGGGGGGCAACAGGCCTCTGCCCTCCCCCCCCCCACCCCCACCCCAGTCCCACAAAAACAGGAAGGAAGGAAGGGAGGAAAAGAACAGCGGCAACAACCTATGGAGGAAAACTTATTTTACTATAATACCAGAATACAAGATAACAGAATATATACAATTTAATTGAAATTGAGATTAATAAATCAGACAAGATGAGAGAGAGAGAGAGTTCCCGGGACCGAGTCAAACCTGAAAAGCTTGGAACGGCTAGGAAAGCACCCTCCAGCACCCACTGCAAGGCAGCAAGAGAGCGCCCCCCCCCACCCGGAAGGGCCAGATCCCGTGACTGCTGTAATGTACAGGGATAGGTACCTGGAATTGGGGCAGTGACACTTTAATGCTCCGTATACTACTTGATGTTTAGATGTGGAGTACTGAAACCCCAAAAAACAAAATACATAAAACCATGACAGGAGGACACTGATTCCCGGACTGAAGAGCCCAGGAGTGAAGACGACTGACTAGTGAGTATCAAGGCATTCTTTTTTATTTTATCTTATTGTTTGGGTTGCCCAGGGCGGTTTGAGACCCCCCATATTTTGGTTGCCTGCCTGTCAGACGTAACGAAAGTGGCACAGGATAGGGCTAAAAGGCCTGGGTAAGGGGTTAAATCCCCAAAATTGGAATTAAACATCACTACAGTTATTGTCATCAGGTACACTTATTTGATTGTTGATTGTTGGTTTGTGCTGTTACTGTATGCTGTTTGTTTTTGTTGTTATTGTACAAAGAACTCACCCATGTGCATTGTTAAACTGGGCACATCTAGGGGTGAGGGAATTTTGAAAAAGTCACCTTTGGGCTGCGTTCTAAGTTACTGGAAAAAAATAACTGAATCTCCTTGTGAGGTTGCACAGAAAGATGATTTAATTAAGTACTGTAATCAGTGGTGGCCACTGTATAAATTAGAAGATGGAGAAAAATGGCCAGTGAATGGTACTTTGAATTATAACACTTTGTTACAATTGATGCTTTTGGGAAGAGAAGATAAATGGGATGAGGTGTTATATGCTGATACGTTCTTTATATTGAGGCAACATCCTGAATGGCAAAAGAAGTGTGGGATCAATTTGGTCATAAATGACCCTCTGATTTTGGTACTAGAAAAGGATAAAAGAGAGAGGAAGAAAGGAAAGGTGTTAAAAAGGTGTTGTTCAGCACGTAGTACTGGGCAGAGAAGCTTGAAACTAAATCAGCAGGAAGATTTAGAGATGTTAGTAACCCCAAGATTCCCCAAGAGCATGGGCCTGGACTCCCTGGGGCAAAGGGGTCGGATAATGAGCATGAAAGAGGGACTATAGAAACAATGCCGGTGACAGAGAGCACTTGCAGCTGTTATAACGTTGTGCTACAAGCCCTGCTGAAGCTTGCAGTTGGAAATGATGGTCCAGTTGTAGTTAAGGTACCCTTTTAATTACAGATTTAAACAATTGGAAAACAGCTGCTGGTAGCTATCGAGATGATCCTGAATGGATTAGCTAATGCTTTTGAAATCATGGTTACAACCCAGGATCCGGACTGGAAAGATATAGAAGTTGTCATGCAGGTGTTGTTTGATAGTACAGAAAAAGAAATGATTCGCAGAACTGCAAGGACTCAAGTGAAGGCTCAGGTAGCAGCAGGGGTATTGCAAGGGCAGTTAGAACATCACTTTCCCTCCATGGACAATGGAGATAAGTTGCTGCAAACACAGTATCAGAAAAGGGTTTTTTTTTTGGTTGGTTTAAGAAATGCAATACCAAAGGTAATAAACTGGTATTCATGGCTTTATGATTTTTGTTATTGGTATTCCACATCATAGCATCATGTAAAGCACAGGGAATTAAAGAGTTAATACTCCAGTTCCGTGGACTGACAACTTTCCAGATACCTGGTTCTCAGAAGAGAAAAAGAACTACATACCCCAGAGGAATTTGCATTCAGAGGGGAAGATAAGACCCGCAAGTCACGGGAATCGCTCCGTCTCTCGCTGCCTGGCAGTGTGTGGGTGTGCTCCCCAGCCATTTCACCTTCAGTTCAGAGTAAGGCTTTTTGGTATTGAACACTCTCTCATTTTATTTATTAGCCTCAATTCCAATTATATTGTACTATATTGTGTTATCTTGCATTCTGATATCATATTTAGTAAAATTAATTTTCCTCCTCAGATCGATGCCAGTGTTCTGTCTATGGGCCCAGCTCCCATCTCCCTACCTTCCTCCTCTCCCTTTCCCTTTTTGGGTCAGGGGGGCTACGGGGGGCCTGCTGCCCCCTGTCACAGACACAGATTGATATAGATAACTCCGTGACAATGGTCGAAATTATATGAGATTAAGCAAGAAAGAAAAGAATCCCCAAGTGACTTCCTGAATAAATTAAAGGAAACCACTAGAAAGTATACAACTCTTGATCCCAAATCAGAAGAAGGGAGAAGTCAGTTAGCAATTTTGTCTATTGGCCAATCTGCTGATGATATTCGAAAGAAGCTGCAGAAGTTACAAGGGGCATAGATGCTAGAGATCTAGGGAAGTTGCTGGATATGGCTTGGTTAGTTCATAGAAATAGAGAACAGCAGAAGGAAAAAGGTTGCGCTAGGCTGATTGCTGCCCTGGAAGGGACCCATGGTCCCCAAGGGGAACCTCGGGTTGGATTGAGAGATGGTGAACTTAGGGGGAGCAGATGTGGCAGAAGATTTCCAAAATCCCAACTAGGGGAAAAACAGTGTGCAAACTGAAGGGAGGAGGGACATCGGAAGCAAGAATGTCCGTATCTACAGAGATCTAGGAAACCTGTGTTAGCTGTGGAAGCTACGGAGTGAAGGGGACTGGAGGCATTTTCCCCAGCAGAGCCTCTGGTTAAAATTAAGCTGGGGGAAGATGAAACTGAAATAGAATGTTTGGTTGACACAGGAGCTACTTATCCAGTTTTAAATACAAAGAAGCATGAATTAGGCTATGATACTCTAAGAGTTATTGGTGTGACAGGCAAGTCAGAAGCCAGACCGTTCTTTAAGCCTTTGAAGTTTAAAACTGGGAAACAGTGGGTGATACATCAGTTCTTGTATTTACCAGGAGCACCAGAGCCTTTAGTTGGTCGAGGTTTGTTGGAGAAATTAGAGGCAGAAAGAAAATTTAAAGATGGGGAGGTAAAGGTATTGGTACCAGAATCTAAATTTGTCCAAGCTGCAAGAGTTATTTTCACAGGAAGTCAAGCCAGAAAATAAAGGAATTTCAGCTGAAGTTGAATCTGCAGTGGTGCCTTTCGTATGGGCAGGGGAGGTGCCTGGAAGACCAAAGAGAGCTGAGCCAGTAAGATCTAAAGCCAGGATCGGTATGGGCAAGGCTGAAACAATATCCTATAAAATTAGAAGCTAAGATGGGATTGATACCTCTCATACAAAAATTCTTAAAACATGGTTTATTAAGGAAATGTGATTCTAAGTATAACACTCCAATATTGTCTATTAAGAAAGCGGATGGGAAGTTCTCATGGTTTTATGATTTTTTGTTATCAGTATTCCATATCATAACATCATGTAGTGCACTGGGAGTTAGAGTTAACACTCCAGGTCTGTGGATTGTCAATAGTTTCCAGTACCTGGTTTTCAGAAGAGAAGAACAACTACATACTCCAGAAGACTTTGCGTTGTTCTGTTTCTGTTTTCTGTTCAGAGGGAAAGACAAAACTGTTTGCAGATCATAAGATGCTCTTTTGCCTTTCTGCTCGTCCTGGCAGTGTGTTCACCTTCAGCATTAGAATAAAGCCTTCAGTTTTTGGACACTCTCATTTTCTTCCAGAACCCCAAAATGTCCATGAGCTGAGACCATTTTTAGGAATGATAGGATGGTGTTGTTTATGGATCGCTAATTATGGACTAATTGCAAAACCCTTATATGAATTACTGAAAGTAATAGGTCCCAGTCTAGTGGGAAAGTGGAAAGGATAAATCAAATGCTGTTTCAGGGTACGTTTGGATCTGAGAGACAGGATGTCTCAGGAGCAGAGGCACTCAGAGCAGCAGAGGGTTATGAGTTTTAGTCAGCATATACACACACACATGCAGGCATCCATTTTAGATGGACGTAAGCAGCAAGCAGAAACTACCTAAGCAAGCACACTTACTTACCGACCCTTGAGAGATGGCCAACCACCAAAAAGAGAGAAAAGGAACATGCCAGCGGTGGATTTGATAGGGAGTGTCAGCAGGGCCTCCCCTGCTTCAAAGTGCACTTTTCGTTCCTCCCCCACCACAGCCTCTCTCCTGCTTTTATGCTCCCCAGGGTCTGCAGGGTTTTTTCCACTTGCATGCCATACCTGTGTGGCCAACACATGATACAGAGCCCAAGTGGAACACCTGCTTGCAAAATAAGTCCTTGCAAAACCAAGATAAACTACCAAGGTCAACTCTCTCTACAAAACAAGCTTTTTGTGGTTACAGCTGCAAATATAACTTCCCTTAAAACTGTCAGAATACTTTGTTCCATCCCAAGATCATTCTTCAGTCAGGGGCCTTTAGGTCCCCAACACAAACGCTTATAGCACAGCTAAGCAAAATATGTCAAGAGACCTCTATGGATTGGACTCAGGCCTTACCTTTAGCCTTGTTGAGAATTAGAGTCTAACCGTGAAGTAGACAGCACCTTAGTCCATACGAATTGATGTACGAATGACCAATATCAGACTCCTGGATTACCAGGAGAGATACGAATACAGGGGGGAAAATGATACAAGAAAGTATTTAATTGCTCTCAGGAAAGTCTTGCAGGAAATAAATAAATACGTAATCCTAAATAAATCTCTGAGACTTGATTTCCCAGCACATCCATTCCAACTGGGAGACTGGGTGCATGTCAAATCCTGGACACCTGAACCACTGCAAGAGAAGTGGAAAGGACCCTTCCAAGTTCTACTGACCACCTATACTGCAGTGAAACTAGAAGGAAAAGGACTCTGGATTCATTTTTCTCAGATTAAGAAGGCACCTTCCATGTGGAAGACTGAACAGACTACCTCGCCATTAAAAGTTAAGATAATTAAGCGGGCATAATGTATAAAGCAATTCTGTTGGTAGGAATTTGCCTTGTAGGCTGTGAAAAATAGAAAAGTAATGTACATTTACAAATAGTAGGGAAACGAGGTACTGTAACTAATTCCTCTGCTGGATATGTACTGAATTACCAAGGAGCATGCAGAGAGGGTATCCACAAGCAGGAATATTGTTAAATCAAACAGAAATAAGTTGAATTGGCAACAGCAGTCTGGCATACAAAAACGGATCCAGCACTAAAAATGCACAGCGATTTCCATTGCTTATGGTCTTATGGGGAGAGAACCAAACAGTGCATGTCTTGGGGTAAATTTACCAGGTGGATTCACATGGAAGACAAAATTATAGAATCATAGAATCACAGAATGGTTTGGGTTGGAAGGGACCTTTAAGATCATCTATTTCCAATCCCCCTGTAATAGGCAGCGATACCCCCCTATAGACCAGGTTTCTCAAAGCCCCATCCAGCCTGGCCTTGAATGCTTCTGGGGAGGTAGCATTCACAACCTCACTGGGCAACCTGTTCCAGTGTCTCACTACCCTCACAATAAAGAATTTTTTCCTAATATCCAGTTTGAATCTACCTTCTTCCAGGTAGGTCCCTCTTCGGCTCTTATAAAAAGTTCCACCCCAGCTTTCCTGTAGGCCCCCTTCAGGTACTGGAAGGCCACTGTAAGGTCTCCTCGGAGCTTTCTCTTCTACAGGCTGAAGAACCCCAGCTCTCAGCCTGTCCTCATAGGGGAGGTGCTTCAGCCCTCGGATCAACTTTGTGGCCCTCCTCTGGACCCACTCCAACAACTCCATGTCCTTCTTATGTTGGGGGCTCCAGAACTGCACACAATATTCCAGGTGGAGTCTCACGAGAGCAGAGTAGAGGGGCAGAATCACCTCCCTTGACCTGCTGGCCACACTTCTCTTGATGCAAATTGAATAATTCTATACCTTCATTTTGCAGTTTTACACAGGGCCTAACCAAACAAGACACCAAAAATGTGAGAAGGGGCACTTATAGATATCTTTGGTTCTGTTGGCCTGATTGTATGCTCCGTTATAGGAATCAACCAGTAGCTGGTTTTAGGGCCCCTTAAGGGAAATTTTGGTTATGTGAAGGAAACGAAGGTATGTTTGCTAGTGTACTAATGCTCCTCGATCAGGGTGACTTATCAGTACAAAAAAGACAGGGAGCTGTTGGAGAGGGTCCAGAGGAGGGCCACTAGGATGATCAGGGGACTGGAGCACCTCCACTATGAGGACAGGCTGAGGGAGCTGGGCTTGTTCAGCCTGGAGAAAAGAAGGCTGCGGGGTGACCTCTTTGCAGCCTTTCAATAACTAAAGGGAGCCTACAGAGGGGAGGGGAATCAACTCTTTCTAAGGGTTGATATGTGTAGGATGAGGGGAAATGGTTTTAAGTTGAGGGAGGGGAGATTGAGGTCGGAAATTCTTTACCCAGAGAGTGGTGAGGTGCTGGAACAGGCTGCCCAGAGAGGTTGTGGATGCCCCGTCCTTGGAGGTGTTCAAGGCCAGGTTGGATGGGGCCCTGGGCAGCCTGGTTTAGCATTAAACGTGGAGGTTGGTGGCCCTGCATGTGGCAGGGGGGTTGGAGATTCATGATCCTTGAGGTCCCTTCCAATCCTGGCCATTCTGTGATTCTGTGATCTTGTGCAATAGAGGAGATATTCCCAACAATGCAAATTCAGGACAACAGTGCAACGACTGGGTTATATTTACCTAGATACAGAGTGTCAGACTTCTCAGAGCAGCAATCCATTAATTGAGAAGCTGACTCGCTTCCATTCTTTTGTTCGCTGGTTCTTCCCTATGCTGGGAGTCAGTGAACTGGAAAAAGCAGTAGCTAACCTGTCCACATCCTTAGAGATACTCTCTAATGCCACCATAGATAGCATAGTAAGACTGCAATTCGGACAATCTGACAAGTAGCCATAGAAAACTGGATGGCCCTGGATTTGTTACAGGCTAGCAAGGATGGTATATGTGCAGTTATTAATACTTCATGCTGTCATTATGTAGATGAATCAGGCAGAATAGAAGAGGATATAGAGAAAATACAACTAAAGCTATATCATCAAATATCCCTCAATGACACCTTATGGAGTGTAGAGGTGGTCTGGGATAAGCTGACTTCATGGTTACCTCATTGGTCTTGCTTGAAGAAACTGTTTTTGATATATTTTTTTTTGTTGTTATTGTTGTATGTATAACTGCATGTATAATGACACAGTGCTGCAATTGTTGTTCTGACCATTGTTGGAGACATAATAAATCGATACGGTGAGGGTTAAAGCATGTTAGCTGCAACCCTCAAAAAGAAAAGGGGGGCTGACATAAGTTTCAGCTTAAGTCCCTTAATTGACAACGTTGTAGTTTGTTTAGATAATCGGAAGCATCTGTGACTTTGTATTGTATAGATAAGGGAGGTTCCACAAGGCTTTGTATGGAATACATATGTACCTCCAGGAAGACCTCTGAATATATATAAACTGAAGACCTTGCTGTGCAAGGTACGTGTGTGTAAGAGATTATTCTGTTAATTTCTGTGTCTCAAAGCTTGCTGGGGACACAGATGGACTTGTTCAAGTCCAGACAAGTCCCAAGCAAGGATTGTGAAATCCTTTGTCTGGGGGACACAGATGGGCAAGGCCAGGTGTATGGGAACTGCTGAGTCATGGCCTGAACCTCTGATTGATCACCTGAGGCGAGCTATGAGTCAGCCAGAGGAGCACAGGTGAAGGCAATTCACCTGTGCTGCCGGAAGGGGTGGAGCCTGGCTCCACCTCTCCTAGACCTATTTAAGAGCTGGCTAGGAGAGGGGGAGGATCTCTTCTGGAGATCACCTCTCTTGGTGTTTTGTGGTGAGCTCAGCTGAAGGGTAAGCTCTTCCACTTATTCTCTTTTCGTGATCATTGTCTACTTTGTCTAACTCTCTTGATTGTATTGTGATTATAACATCTTGATATCTGTTGAGTATACACCAGGGGCAACGAGAGGGAGATGAGCTGCAGCTAAATAGCTGTGAAGTGCTCCTTTGTGTGGACCTAACTCAGGATGATGGCCATCTCAGGGGGTACTCAATGACTCTTGCTCAAGGCCCATCATTATCACGTAGGCAGGAGAACAAGGAGGATAAAAGAGGAACTGAAAACCATGAGGATGGGTTTCTGACAATTCAGATTCCTCACGAAGAAGAGGGATTCCTGACGATTGAGGTGATTCCTGCATACTGTCAAACTCTCCAGTGCTTGCTGCCTGAGTGCTGTTGCTGCTTCAAGGATTGGCTCCTCGACTTCTTCGTCTACCTGCCTGCTGCCCAAGGCCGGCTGCACTGCTTCTCACCCCTCCCCTGCTGCGTCTGCCCGGGACCTTCAAACGCTGTGCAACGGGACTGCTGCTGGATCCTGCTGATGACTATCCCTGCTCTATGCAACTCCTGTTTCTTTTCCACCTTTTCTATCGCCCTCCTTCCCTTCCCCATCTCCCTGGTTAGGTTTGGTAATAAACTGGATGGAACAACATATGAACAGTTGTTTCTTAATCTCACGCTGAGTATACAGATATTAAAAGGACTTCATCTCTCTCCTGTAAATTGGAGCGAGACAAGAACTTAATGACATGCACACCAACATGAGTATTAATTCAAGATTCGTAAACCATTTGACAAACCGAGAAGAAAACCCGGAGACTGGTCTGAACATCGTGTTGTTTGTAACATTAGCTATTCCATTTGGGATGTAGTTGTTTGTGAAATTAGCCATTCCTTCTGGGATGTAGATGTCAAAAATCAAATCGTACCACATTGCATATAGGTTAAAATATAGGTGTCTCCATCAGTGTCGTTAGGTAGCTATATACGGATGTAATTCTATGTCACGGAGTTGACCAGATCAATCTATGTCCGTGACAGGAGTGACAGGGCCTCTGCCCTCCCACCCCAGTCCCACAAAAAATGGGAAGGAAGGAAGGGAGGAAAAGAGCAGCGGCAACAACCTATGGAGGAAAACTTATTTTACTATAATATCGGAATACAAAATAACACAATATAAACAATTTAGTTGAAATTGAGATTAATAAATCAGACAAGATGAGAGAGAGAGTTCCCGGGACCGATTCAAACCTGGAAAGGTTGGAACGGCTAGGAAAGCACCCTCCAGCACCTGCTGCAAGGCAGCAAGAGAGTGCCCCCCCCACCCGGAAGAGCCAGATCCCGTGACTTCTGTAATGTACAGGGATAGGTACTTGGAATTGGGGCAGT